TTAAACATTCTGTACTTGAGTGTTCACTCTGTGCTGGGTGGAGTTGATAATTCCCTGATGTATCCGTTTCTTAAGGCTGCTGTAACAAAGTACCACAAATTAGATGGCAGAAAACAACAGAAATGTATTGCTTCACAATTCTTGAAGCTAGAAGTCCAAACCCAAAGTGTTGTAGGGCCCCTGGAGAGGATGCTTTCTTGTCTCTTCCAGCTTCTGGCAGCCCCAGGTGTCCCTTAGCCTGTGGCAGCATAATTCTAATCTTTGCCTCCCTCTTCACATGGCCAGTTTCCCTCCGTGTCTGTGTCTCTTCTTCTCTTCCAGCAAAAACACCAGTCATATTGGATAAAGAGCCCACCCTACCCCAGTATGACTTCATCTTAATAACATCAGTAAAGGCTTCAATTCCAAATAAGGTCACATTCACAGGTACCATGGGTTAGGACTTCAACATATCTTTTTGGAGAACACAATTCCACCTACAACATCTGGTGACCAACAATGTTTGCCTAGGTTTAGGAATAAACCTTTGATTGGCAGCTAGGAAACATATCAAAACAAAATGGTCCACGAGGGAGGAAAACATGACCTAACTAACCTGATGTGCTTATTAGTTGAGCAAACCAGTCATACCTAGATTCACCCTATCACAAAGGCTTCAGTCTCTTCTTTCTTTCTTTCTTTCTTTCTTTCTTTCTTTCTTTCTTTCTTTCTTTCTTTCTTTCTTTCTTTCTTTCTTCTTCTTTCTTTCTTTCTTTCTTTCTTTCTCCTTCCTCCCTAGGGCATAAGCCTGGGTTTGGGGCTCCATCCCCAGCAGGCGGCGTGCAGGAGGCAGCGGCTCAATGTTCCTCTCGCATCGACGTTTCGATGTTTCAATGTTCCTCTCCCTCTCCCTCTCCCTCTCCCTCTCATCAAATGATATGGTTAAATATTTGGTACTGGGAGATTTGTGGGAAGATCTGGATCAGAAAAAGGTTCTTTCCTGTGAGTAAGGTAAATATTGAGGTATTCATCAGTTTATCACATACCCAAAAACCTAAGTGAGAGCTTACCAAAGGTTTTGTAACTGAAGGTCTATTATTACAAGTATTCAGGTTTATATTTAGCCTTGACTTATACATAAACACCCACATACACCATATAAGTAATTTAGCTTAGACTTAGAGAATGAACATTTCAATCTGAGCATTATATGGATGGTATTGTCTCTATCACCATTGTCTTGTGAGATAACTGGTGACATATTTCCCTAGTACAAGGAAACCAATTAAAGTAATTGTTACTCTGCAAATTTGAATCAATGATGTTGCTCACTAATCCCAATCAACCAAAATGAAGAAACTTAGTTCATGCTTTTCGCACAGCCAGGGGAGGAGGAAACTTTGGCAAAAGAGCTGTCCTGTCATTTCCCCTTCCCCCTTAAATCATCTCCAGGTCTGTAATTCTCTGTTTTCATACAAAGAAAAAAGATTATGCATTGTGTTTAGGTTCATAGTGAGTTGTAAAACAGCCCAAAGAGTAAATGAATTAAAATTATTAAAATAATTATCAGGAGAAAATTTCTCAAGAGGGGAAAGGTAATAAATTATAAAACTGTGTTGGGGCAAGGATCAGGATGGGAGATGCTGATACAATTAAGCTGTTACAACAAACTCACGTTTTGTTTTAACCTGTTTTGAATTTGGACCAGTCATTGGGAACTCCCTTTCCACGGGTCTACATGGGATGTTCACATCTGTCTTTATCCATGTGAAATATTTTTTTTAAAAAAAGCTTTTGAAAACAAATAGGAGGTGACAAAGAATTCCTTGGAGACACAAAAGAGTGTCTTATTTCTTATTTAAAGACCAGTGAAAAATTCTCTACAGCACAGGAATTGAAAGGAAAATGTGAAATCTAATGGTGTTTGGTCAGTGGAGCAAGGGATTTGTAGTGGTAAAAGAAAATACAGATAAAGTTATTTAGTCTGAGTTTTTATATATCTCTTAGCATGTTTCAGGCTTAGAAAGGATCTCAATTGTGATTTTGTTGGCTTAGTTTTGACCTGAACAAAATGGATTTGCTGGTTTTGTTTCTCCTTTTTATTCAAATGAGACACACCCTCCTGGTTTTGAGAAATTTGATTCTTATCTCTTAGTTAGAACCATGACTGATGGTGAATTTTGGATGTTTGATTATGCTGGATTCTTACCAAAGACCACAAGGGAGACTTAACTTGAAGCAGAAAGATGATTGTCAAGTGAGCTATAGATTAGAGTCTGATTCTTTGGTGGCGGTTCAATAAAAATAGTTTAGGCGAAGGTAGATTCAATAAGGCAGATAAAAGAAATAAAATGCACTTCTGGGAAATGAGCAGGGCAAAGCAAACACACAGGAACTCATTAAAGAAACAGCCAATGAGCAATGCATAACCAATATCTGATATATAATTTAAGACCCAAAGGTCACTTAATATCAACTCTGTTGCAATACACATATGCTGAAAGACTCTATCTGGCCATTATACTTGAGTTTTCCCTGGCTGATTTTATTTCATGGATGTTTCTCAGGAACACACACACACACACACACACACACACACACACACACAAAATGGAAGAGTAAAATCAGATTTATAGGAAGCATCTACTTGGATTAATTCGGTAATAAGAGCATTTTCAAATTGCTAATTTACTAAGTAAAGTCACCGGAATGCTGAATTACTTTACTTTTATTATGATGATTGAAAGAGATAATTGCAGGCCCAGCCACAAAACCAACGCAGAGAGAAGAGAGGTAGCAGTCATTCTTTGCGTAATTACTGGTATTTGTCATCCTTGCCTTGAAAAGGGATCATCAGTTTTTCTACAGACTGTTTTATTTGCTTCAGAAGCTCTTTTTCAGAATGCTGTTTATCATCCACATTGTCCCCATTTACTTAGCAATAAATACACTATGAATGTACTTCCATTAGCCAATTTAATGACTTTAATTTTGGATCAAAATGTTAATTAAAAAGTATACATTTCATTCTTATAGGGATGAAACAAAAAAACTCTTGGTTCTCAAGTGTTAGGTTAAATTCCTAAAAGCAGAGTTGAAAAACAGGGTTAATCAACGTGAAATTTAGTATAATGAGCCTTGGGTTAATTGTGATAATCAGTTAGAATTAATTTTCCTATCTCTTTAAGAAAACAAAGACTCAAAAATCATGGCATCTATAACTTTATTTATACTTAGGGAGAAATTTTTAAAAAACAAAAATAAATGAGGAAACAGAAAGGAAGTTTGCCTCAAAAAGAAAAACACTACAGAAAAAACTTGTAAATCAGATATTCTATCGCTAGAAAATGAGTGAGAATTTTATTGTTTCTTGGCTTTTAAAAAATCTGCCCTTCACCAAATAGAAGAATATTGCCAACATGAAAGAAACAAGATCTATTTTCTACATAACCATAGTTAATAATTTCCATGAAATTGACATTTTAGAACTATGGCCAAAGCCAAATTAAAACTTATGGATTCCTAGTCCTACATCCTTAACCTGTTTTCTTAAGACCTACAATACACTTTCAAACAAACCCAATTAATATAATAACAGAGGGTTGAAAGAACGCACGCACATGGGATCTGTTTCGGTAAAACACAGCTGTTCTGTTATTTATGTTTTGTTATTTTTTAAAATGGGAAATGTGGCCATCATATAGAGGAACCAACATCACAGTTTTTTAAAAAGCCCCTACAACCAATGAACTTGGAAACCTTCTGTTCGTGCCTCTGAATCTCCCTGCAGTGGTAACCAGGAAAGCAGCACAGGCAGCAACTTGTATCCCCTGAGCAGTTGACATGCTAA